TAATAAGCGTATCAGAATAGAACGTAAGATTCTTTTATAAAATGTCATTGTTTGACGTGTTAAATTGCGGTTTGGACAAACGTAAATTGAATCTCGTTACCTCTTGAATCTTGTATTGTAATTTAGAATCCTCTTGATTTGTAAATCTGGTAATATCACGCATCCGCGTGCAAACGCGTTATTACAGGAACGCGTACAACGTTACGCTTGTAATGTAACGTAATGCAAGAGTTAATAGCCGCTGTGTATAACTTCTGTAACTATAAATTCCTGTGTATCGATCGTTAAATTCTCCCTCTCGATACGGACACGATTTTATGATGCGACTGTAAAACACGTTCTGATGACGTTGCAGAGTTTAAATGTTTTTAGATAAAAACTTTTAGTTAATAAGAAAAAAATTAGTCGTGCTAGATTTAAAATCCGTTTATACAAATCTATTTCGTTTCTTTCCCTCAGTTATATTATTCTTCGGTTAGGATTCGATTTCTTGGATTTCTTTTCAACTATTCGCTACTCGCAAGAGTATATGAATAATGTAGATGTGTAAGTGTAAGTGTCCGCAGTATATCGAGCTCGGGGGTTCGCTAAACCCAAAATGACTGTGATGACTGTGCGGATCAGTCATCCCTGCGGAAGTCACAGCGTTTACAGCGAGAGCTACAAAGACTGCCATCGTGTGAGTCTCGAATGCAGTTTATACTGTGCCATCTACTGTTTATTCTACCATAAAGCCAATCTATGTCACCCATCTCTGGCCCTGATACCTCGCGCATAAAAATATTTTTCTAGCTATGGTTAACGCTGAACGCAAAAATCCCTGACCGTAGAGAAATCTTTCTTGACAATTCCAACTGTTAATAGCGACTGTTGGGTATTCTACATACATGATGTTATTAGTATTAGACGCGATAGTTACGACGACCCAAGTGTTATACGTTACATTTTGTGTGTTTCAGTGCGGTGGCTTTCCCTGCGTCGAGAGCATCAGTAAACGCAAGTCGCCGAGGGTGAGTAATGAGAATTTTTCGCGACAAATCTGGAATATAATATCAGATCGATAACGCATAACGTTAAAATCCTTGCGAGTAGAACCGCGGTATTAAAATACGCTTAAGGGAAACAAGCGATAACGAGTTCTTCTCGCCTCATCAAAAACCGTCGCGTAACCAATAAAGTGGCGGCTGTCGCGCAATTTATAAAAAACGCGGCCACACGAGACAATAAGAATTGTCGGTGAGGTAAAGAGTTATTCGGTACGCCGCTGGGCTCTTTTTCATTTTTCAAATGGCTGCGCCATGAAACTACGCGAGCGATAAAGCCGGCAAACAGATTTCATGCATGAGCGAATACGCCCGCCCGCGGGACCCGGGTATATCGGCTTCACGGCTGGGCGTTGTTGTACAACGATTTTTGTTGTTTCCACTACAGCGCGACCAATTCCATTACACGGATGCGGAATGACCGGGTTATGGCTTAATATCTCGTAAGACAACCGTTATATGTGGCAAATACGTTGTAATGTCCTGTGCTACATTCAATCAAGTGCGCTCCGAATTTGACAGTGGCAAACAACGCGCGGTTTCCACGTACATACGCCGACTACGATAGTTAATTACGATCGTGTGCATACAGACTTTGACTCACCGTCGCATCGATGAGCTACTAATAGGATTCAGGTAATTTGATTATACGCGACAAAGACGTCGCCAAGTCGATCGTGGAGTGGTCCGGAAGGAACATCGAGAAACGCAAGACGTTCGCCAAAATTTTAGCCAAGTTTTTCTATCGGTGTAATTTATATATACTAATTGCATTCGTGAAGAAAAGGGGATATATTGTATGTCAGTCAGAATAATAAGGGAGTAAGATGACGAAATGATGATAATAATTTTCTAGGATTCGATGTCCAATTCAGAACATTTCACAATAGAAATGTCGAAATATCTTAAAAAAATAAATTTAAAAAATTCTAATTTATTTATTAATTTCTCAATTTTTGACGTAGTAAAAATCTAAAAGGGTAGATTATTATTATTATTATTATTTCAGAAATTCATCACAAAAAAAATCGACAGTCTTAAGATCGTCGTCTTACCCCCTTTTCCCCTAGTTGTGCCATCTTTGTGCCGAAAATATGCACGCTTACCTCTTTGTCACGCGATGCTTTCGACGGAACAAATAAGCGACGCGGAACGTCATTACGTCAGGGCCAAATCAGAGCAGCGCAAAGCTGGCGAAACGACGTATCGTTATTCCTTCCCTAATGCGCGCATTGTACGCCGCGTAACGCAGTTACCTATATTATGCAGCGGTATGCAAACAGTACCAAGCCGTCCTCTCTATCTCTGTTATCTCCTCTCGTCTCCTTCATATTTCGTTCCTTGTCACTACAGCTCGTGGAAGTCGAGTCTCTCTCTCTCTC